AAGAAGATAACTTCTCTGTTAGTGTAGAACATAGCTAAGAACCTGATAGAAAGAAAGAAAAGGTCATGATGTAACTGGAATAACTCTCACGAACGCTGGGGTCTTCACTCACTGCCTCTGACTCTTTATTTAAGTACAGTTTTTAAATGCTTGGTTTCCTGATTCTTCAACCCAAGATATATTTGAAACAGAAAATTAGAATAGGAGAAGGGAGAGAGGATAACTAGAATCAAGTGCACGGAGAGCTGCGAAGACATTTGCCACCAGACTACAAAGGTAGTGAGGAGAGTAAGAAACACTAAGAGAGAAAAAAAAAAAAAAAAAGACACAAAAGCTCTAAATGTACTCTAGTCTGGGAGTAATTTAGGATAATGGCAGTAGTCCCAATCCCATTACCAGATTTCAGCTGGTATTTATTTTAGTAGCATAGACTCTATATGTATTTATCTAGAAAACTCACTTACAGGGAGCAGCTTTCACTGATGGAACCAGATAAAACAATGGCACTGTACTTCTCATTTTTCCTTTTCTGTGTATGAAATTTTAAACTCTGTGTGTTGTATATCCATATATTATACATGTAAAATAAGGATAAGTCTCAGGCCTGAATAAACCTCAGATCTATCAGAAGTATAAGTTTCTGGATTTGAATTTCTCACATTAGCCCTCATTTACCAGGTTGGCGGATATTTTTAACCGCAGACCTTCCTGAGGTTTCTCAGCCTGGAGCTGTGCCACAGTTCTGAGGTATTACATGGTACCAAAGCGTTAGGGTTGGGAGTTACTGCTGAGACATCAGCCATCTTTGGCTAGAAGATTCCCTTCAGATCCAGAGATCTTTGCTGCTTCTGTGCCATGTGTCAAGCCCCAGAACCCTTTGGTGAAGATACCTATGGCCCGTCTGACTAGATGCACACACAGCTGTTTTCTTTTGAGGTTTTAGCTGCCTCCCTAGGGTGTTGCCAGACAGCAGGGTCCCTTTGCTCCTGTCACCCACAGACTTCTTTCTTTTTACTGACACTAAGAGGTCTTCTACTCTGCAGAAATCTCCTGCTGCCGTGTTCCTTTATGCTCCCCTATCTCTGCCTTCAATTCTCCTTCCTTGTATTGTCTTCTTCCCTTTCAGGTAGGGGTGGGCTCCCTACTCACTACTTCAGGGCAGAGAAGAGAAGTGACCTCAAAATCTTCATGGCTTTTATGGCACTGTGTGTATTGTAGGCTTAAATGCAGGGTCCACAGTCATTTGGCCTAGTTGACCTTTGTTAAGGTTTTAGAGAGAAAGAGATGTGCAACAGAAAGAGCCCGCTTGGGGAGTGTTTCTATCTAGGCCTTCCCATGGGAATCAGTTACATATCAGTATTGCACCTGTTTCTACTATGGCATTCTTCATAGCCTGAGATATTGCTTGTTAATATTCTTGTTTTCGTATCTACATATTTGGTTTTTCCAAGCAGATCACAAATTCTTTGAAGCTAAGATAAGCTTTTCCTGCCTGTTGAATATGCATCGTTACAGTAAATCCTTGTTAGTTCTTAGTATGTATACTAAAGAAGGGCATAAAATACGTGGAAATAGTTGAGGTTTTTTTAAAATTGTATTCATGGCTGCCATGTTTTTTTGGTTTTGTTTTGTTTTTTGTTTTTTTGGAGACAGAGTCTCTCTCTTGTCGCCCAGGCTAGAGTGCAATGGTGCGCTCTCGGCTCACTGCAACCTCCACCTCCCGGGTTCAAGGGATTCTCCTGCCTCAGTCTCCCAAGTAGCTGGGATTACGGCACCTGCCACCACACCTGGCTAATTTTTGTGTTTTTAGTATAGACGGGATTTCACCATGTTGACCAGTCTGGCCTCGAACTCCTGACCTCCAGTGATCCGCCCGCCTTGGCCTCCCAAACTGCTGGGATTACAGGCGTGAGTCATGGCGCCTCACCGCACTATGATTTTTTAAAAAGATTTTTGCTGAAATTTACTCACACAAAACACCCAAATTACAAGTGTACTTAGTCAATGACTTTTCACAATGTGGGCATATCCATATAACTAGCACACAGATCCAAAAATAGTATTACCAGCACATGCAAAGCCCATCATGCTCCATCTCAGTCACTGCCACCCAACAATAACCGCTACCCTGCCTAATAACACCATAGTACATAGATTTTAAATTATAGTAACAATTTTCCATGTTTAAAATACGAAGTTTGGTTCTGATTTTATTTTATGTTCAGGGCCCTTGGGCTTGTCTAATTTGCATCATGGCTTTGATTATCCTTAGACTCATCTGCTACATGGTTTTGTTCCCCTCAAAAAAATACTCATGAGAACGAAGATTCTTAATAGTTTTTGGCATTTAATTAAGACCATTTTACCTGATAATATCCAACATTAAATATTCCTATGTTTTGTGAAATCTCAAATCTTCAATATTTGAACTACATTGTAATAAAACATTAGGTTTTATTACCAGTTCTCTATCTGCTCTCCATCCTCACTCTCTCAATCCATTCTTGGCCTTGCTGACCCTACAGACTGCGTCTGTGGGGCTCTCTTGCTGACTAGCTTCTGGTTGGATCTGGGCAATGGGAAGCATTGCCAGTAATTGGAAGGACAGAGGAAAGAAAAGCTGGCATTTCTTCCCTGCTGTCTGCCTCAGCACAGTAACTGTATCTCCCTGTAATACAGCTTCTGCTGGACAGCCCCTTGTCCATGGTCCTAGTGCCTATTAGACATTCCTCCTTCCCTTGTTACTTTGGCCCTCAGGACTATAACAGTATCCTCCTGTCAGTGGTCTCTGGGTGCCTCATTATTCCCTTGTTTGCTCCCTTCATCCTGCCCACAACTCTACATGGAGTCTTTTCATGAAAGCTTCATACAGTGAATTCTTCTTCCTGTGCGGACCCTACCCTGACGATGCAATTCTGAATTTTATGAGAGCTTTAATAAAAGCTTTGACAGGAATGTAAATTAAGTTTAGACTAAGAAAATTAGAAATGGACAACAACAAAATCATAATTATGAGTTAATAGACATTTATACTTCCCTTAAATCTAAGAATAAATCTTATTTTTATTTAAGAAATGGACTTGTAGAGTCTTCTGGTAAAAGAGACAAACTAAATAGAGACATTACCCTCCCATTTCCCAAGCCCTTCTGAAGTTAAAAGTATAGAAATTAAAAAAGAATAAACCCATGGAAGCCAATGGAATGGTAGAGAAAATCAGTGTACAAGAAATCTTAACACATTTAAGGTAGAAAGTGACTGCATGTCTTTTGCAGGACTGTGGATGGAGCTGGAGGCCATTATCCTTAGCAAACTAATGCAGGAACAGAAAACCAAATGCCACATATTCTCACTTATAAATGGGAGCTAAATGGTGAGAACCTACGAACACAAACAAGGAGACAACAGACACTGTGGTCTATTTGAGGGTGGAGGGTGGGAAGAGAGAGAGGAGCAGAAAAGATAACTATTGGGTACTGGGCTTAATACCTGTACCTGTGGTGAAATAATCTGTACCACAAAGCCCTGTGACATGAGTTTACCTATGTAACAGACCTTCACATTTACTCCCAAACCTAAAATAAAAGTTTAAAAAAGATTCTGTGATCTTAAAATTGTAAATAAGTAGTTCAATAATAAGTGAATTTATATGGACTAAAAACAAAGAAAAAAAAGAAAAAGTGACCAGAAGTAGGCTAAGAAAACCACAACTCAGAATCAGGAGCCATCTGTGGGCTCCAGTGGAGAAGTGAGCTCCTATTCTCATCAAGGCCCAGAGCAGCTGTAAATTCAGGGCTGACTGACCCAATGAGAGATACTGGAAATGGGGATTCATTGAAGGTCAATCACTAGTTGACTCCTTTCCTGGTTCACAAATGTAAAGTGCAGCCTGACATTTATTCACAAGCATAAACATACTAACAAGACAATAAAGCATGGTAAGGCTTCTAATGTGACAGCCACAGTTTAAAGTTCTCCTTATTTCTCTTTGTTCTGGCATTTGGGGATCCAGGGAGGTCTCACCAGTTTACTCTAAAATAATGCCTGTTAGTCAACACACCCACCCTAAATGCACAGAACCCCGAGGCACATTTGGTACTCAAGAAAGATACCTGTTGAAAAATAGACCTACTTATATTTCCACAAAGGAAAATTATATCAACTACCTTGTCCTTCTTAAACATGAATGGACAACCAGGTATATAAGGAAAATGATCATCATTAAAGAAAAATAAAGGTTAAAAAAATATATACACAGAAAAAGCAGCCCAGAAGAGAAACAAAACTAATTCAGGAAACAGAAGAAATGAGAATTTTTTTTGGGGGGGGTGGGGGGAATAAACGTGGTGTTTTATTTTCTGGATTATAAAGTGAACAAATACTTAGATACTATTATTTCTTTACCCAATGCTTTTGATTTCTAAGCACTTTTATTTTAAAAATATGAATTATACAATTCCCTGTACACACACACACACACACACATACACCTATAAACACATTAAATGCTACTTTGCCATGACAGCTCAGCATACTTGACAAATCTTTTTTTTTTTTTTGAGTTGGAGTCTCGCTGTGTCGCCAGGTTGGAGTGCAGTGGCACAGTCTCGGCTCACTGCAACTTCCGCATCCCAGGTTCAAGCAATTCTCCTGCCTCAGCTTCCCAAGTAGCTGGGATTACAGGCATGCGCCACCACGCCCAGCTAATTTTTGTATTTTTAGTAGAGATGGGGTTTCATCATGTTGGCCAGAATAGTCTGGATCTCTTGACCTCATGATCCGCCTGCCTCGGCCTCCCAGAGTGCTGGGAGTACAGGCATGAGCTACCGCGCCCAGCCTACTTCACAATTCTTTTTTTTTTTTTTTTTTTTTACTTAGGAAATAAAATTTTATTGTACAAAATTCACATTTGTTGCATATGATGAAAAGCATGGCAAAGAGATCCTTAATCTTTTCCTTTGACATTTACGGTGAAGGTAATTTCCTAATACGTTCTCGGATCATACGATTTTTTTGTCTAGAATGTTTAACAGTTGTGTTGGTAGTAAGTGTTCTGGGTATAAGGTATAAAATGGAAAACAGATCAAAAAAGTGCCGGGGGAAGACCACTGCCAAAGAGTAATCGCCAAGAACTTGGTATTTTCCACCGTGAGGTAGATGCTGTGGGGTCATCGCTAAGTGGTTTGATTATCTGAAGCCACTCATTAAGGTACTCAACGAGACCTAATGCATCTGGGATGTTGTCCCCTTCTGAAACAAATTTCAGCAGAACTACCATTTGGATTTCTTTAGAACAGCTTTCATCATAGAGCGTTTTTGTGATGCCTCCCCCCGGAATGCGGATACAAAACTCGGAATCATCTATTTCTGGAATGCACCGGCTTTTTTCCATTTCTTGCCAGTTAAGGCTCTTTATTTTATTTTGAACACTTCTTTGCATGGAAGGTGTGAGTAGGTACCGGAAGGGAGTACTGCGAAGCTGCAGGTCATTGCGCTGATATGAATGGCTGCTCCAAAGAACAATGACTCTGGCACAGCCGCTGCTTTTCACCCAGGAAAGCAGTTTTTCACAGAACGGCTTTGATTTATACTTAATAAAAATGGATCTTAACTGAAGAGCCACCAGCTTTCTTGAAGGCAATGAATATACTTCAGCATTTATACTAAGTTGTTGAATTTCCTTCCGCAGTCGCATATGGATTGTTTCCAACCATAGGCACAAGACAATCGGTATAGAAGTAACCAATCTTAGACATACTCAGTGTAGAAATAATCAGATCCATTGCAAGCTGGCCAACCTTTCCAACAGATACTGCTGGCATTAGGAGGGTGAAGCCGGCAAGGTCGGGGGCCGACTCCCCGCAGGGAACGAACATGGTCGCAGGGGGCTGGCCAGCAGGAACTAAGCGTGACACCGGAAAAGCCACAATTCTTAACACTATTCTATGTGGAATACAGAATGCCTTTTTATCTGAATTAACATGCATTTAAACAAATTTAGTATATGTGAAAATAAAGGAATTATAAATCAGTAGGAAAGATGTTTAGGTAAAGGCATCATCAGTCAGCTCAGTAGATGTTGTCTACATTTATTTTGTACCTTTATAAAACAAGAACCTGCCAGCAGTCTTAGGTAAAGGGTAAAGTAACACATTTTTGCCCTGATGCCATCAGTCACAGTGCCATGAGATAACTGCTGTGTGTTTAGTCTCAATTTCCTGTTTGCAAAGAAATGCATTAATTCAGTTTTCTACTCATTATACAGTTAGGTTGTAGGGCTATAGATATCTCATTTGAGTTATTTGAGTTTTTTATCTTTATATCTAAAAATTTAATCTGAAAATAGTAAAAGTAGAAAACACTGATTTAAAACCTTAAATACTACTGCTCAGTGCATGTAATAAAAGTTAATGTTTATAAACATTTCAGTATTTTAAAGTATATTTCTTTAACTTCAAGAATCTTGACTTTCCTTGCTACAAGGCTTTTTTCCTCAAAGATTCCTTTTAGGCTTACTTTGGTGTTCAGGATCTCCAGTTATAAATGTAGAAGAGATGGGTGTGCAAGATAAAATTAAAAAGCCAGACATACTTTCTCTCAAGCTGCATAAAGAGAAACATGAAGTACAAATGGATCACAGACCTGAGTCTGTTGTGTTGGTGAAAGGAATCAATATCTTTACATTGCTTAATTTTTTGATCAACTCTAAGAGTTTAGTTGCTACCTCAGGTCCACAGGCAGGACTTCCTCCAACCCTCTTATCCCCTGTTGCTCTCCAAGGTGCCATAATGCAAATGCTTAAGACACAAAGTGTAAATGTGAAGATGCAGCTCTTTCTGGATACAGAGACCAGTTTAGTTTGGAGATTACAGGTCCTAACATGCCTCATTCTCTGTATTCACTGACCATGCTGCTCAAATCTTCACAGAGTGGGCCTTTCTCTGCAGTACTATATCCACACGAGCCAACTGCTGTATTTAACACCTGCCTGCCAATGGACAAAGTACTTGATACAGAGGTTGTTCATAAGGAGCTTACTAACTGTGGTTTTTACCCTAAGACTCTGGAGCAACTTAGAGAAATACCACTACTTGGGAAGTCATCTTTACAGAATGTGGTGATGAGAATGTTTTTAAAACAAATTACACATACTGATATAAATAAATGATTGGGGAGGAGAAACAAATCTGTGCAGAAGAATTGCAAACAGTTTAGTAGACACTGCAGTCTTAAAGAGGGGAGCATGAATCACCATTCCTTAAGAGTGGGTATGCATACTGATTTCAGGGTGTGGGGAGTAACTACAGTGGAGGAGCCTGGCAGATACTACCTCAGCCTGATGATCAAGGCCAACATCAGCAGTCATCAATCATGTTGATAGTGTGTACCTTTGACAAGATATGCTGCAAAGGGCATGTTACTTCTGTGGCATTTCTCCCAAAAATCCATAAACCCAGTCTAATCGTGAGGAAAACATCAGGTAGATTCCAGTAATGAAACATCCTACATAATACCTGACCAGTACTCATCAGAACTGTCAAGGTCATCAAAAGTAAGGAAAGTCTAAGAAACTGTCACAGCCAAAAGAAGTCTAAGGAGACATAACTAAATAGAATGTGATGCCCTGGCTAGAACACTGGAACAGAAAGAAGACATCAGGTGAAAATTAAGGAAATGTGAATAAAGTATGGACTTCAATAATAATGTATCAATATCAGTTTATTCATTTTGACAAGTGGACCATATAGTAAATGTAAGGTGTTAATTATTGGGGAATCTGGGCGCAGGGTGTATGGGAACTCTCAGTGCTGTTTTCTTAATTTTTTTTATAAACCTAAAACTATTCTTTAAAAAAAACAGTTATTTTAAAAAGTACTATATTAAGGAAGGTTATATAAAATAAGAACCATAAAACAAAAATAACCTTTATCTTACACCATATATAAAAATCAACTGAAAATGGGTTAAAGACTTAAATGTAAGACCTGAAACTGTAAAGAAAACATAGGGGTTTTCTTTGTGACACTGGTCTTGGCATTGATTTTTTTTTTTTTAATGAACCCAAAAGCACAGGCAGTAAAAGAAAAAACAGACAAATGGAATTGCATCAAAGTAAAAAACTTCTGCACAGTCAAGGACATAATCAACAGAGTGAAAAAGAAAACCTACAGAATGGTAGAAAATATTTGCAAACCATGTATCTGGCAAGGTGTTAATATCCAAAATTTGTAAGGAACTCAAAACAACTCAATAGCAAGAAAATAACCTTATTTAAAAATGGGCAAAGGCAACAGGTATATGAAAAGACGCTCAGCATCACTAATCATCAGAGAAATGCAAATTAAAGCCACAAAGTGATATCATTTCACCTTCTCCCTGGTTAAAATGGCTTGTATCAAAAAGATAGGCAATAACATGCTGGTGAGGATGCAGAGAAAGAGGACCCCCCCTTACACCGCTGTTGGGAATGTAAATTAATACAGCTACTATGGAGAACAGTGTGAAGGTTCCTCAAAAAAACTAAAAATAGAACTTCCATATGATCCAGAAATGTCCAAAAGAAGGGAAATTAGTATATCTGCACTCTGTTTATTGCAGCACTATTCACAATAGCCAAAATATGGAATCACCCTAAGTGCCAATCAGTGGATGAAGAAAATATGGTGTATATCTACACAATGGAATATTATTCAGTCATAAAAAAGAATGAAATCCTGTCATTTGCAGCAATATGGTTGGAACTGGAGGCCATTATGTTAAATGAAATAAAGCACAGAAAGATAAATATCACACATTCTCATTCATATGCAGGAGCTTAAAAAGTGGATCTTGTGAAGATAGAAAGTAGATTGGTGGTTACTAGAGACCAGAAAGGGGAAAGGGGAGGGAGAAGATGAAGGGAAAAGAGAATATAAATGTATTTATTACCACTGAACTGTACACTTAAAATGGTAAATATGGTAAATTTTATATTTATATTTTATCTCAATACATTTTTTAAATAGCAAAGAATCTGAATAGACATTGCATAAAAGGAGACAAACGATGGCCAACAGCTATATGAAAAATGCTCAAAATCACTATTAGAGAAAAGTAAATTAAAACCGCAATGAGAGATCATGTTACACCTGTTAGAATGGTTGTTATCAAAAAGACGAAAGATAACAAGTGTTGGAGAGGATATAGAGAAAAGGGAATCCTTGCACACTGATGGTGAGAATGTAAATTGGTATAGCCATTATGGAAAACAGTTTGGAGGTTCCTCAAAAAATTAAAAATAGAACTACCATATGATCCTACAATCCTACTACTGGGTGTATATCCAAAGGAAATGAAATCAGTATGTGGAAGAGATATCTACACTGCCAGGTTCATTGCAGCATTATTCACAATAGTCAAGATACGGAATCAGCCTAAGTATCAGTGAATGGAGGCATAACGAAAATGTGAACTAGGTATTGAAGGAACATACCTCGAAATAATAAGAGCCATATATAACAAACATCGCACTGAATGAGCAACTACAATGGTATTGGAAGTTCTAGTCAGGGCAGTCAGGCAAGAGAAAGAAATAAAGGGCATCAGGAAGTCAAGCTATCCCTGTTGGGAGACGACATGATCCTAGATCTCAAAAACCTGCTAGTCTCAGCCCAAAAGCTTCTTAAGCTGATAAACAACTTCAGCAAAGTCTCAGGACACAAAATCAGTGTGTAGAAATCACTAGCATTCCTGTATACCAAAAACAAGCCAAGAGCCAAATCGGGAATGAGCTCCTATTCACAATTACCACAAAAAGAATAACATGCCTAGGAATAGCTAACTAGGGAGGTGAAAGATCTCTACAAAGAGAACTACAAACCACTGCTCAAATAAATCAGAGATGATACAGACAAATGGAAAAACATTCTCTGCTCGTGGATAGCAAGAATTAATATCGTTAAATGGCCATATTGTCCAAAGCAATTTATAGATTCAATGCTGTGCCTGTTAAACTACCATTGACATTCTTTACAGAAATAGGAAAAGAAACTACTTTAAAATTAATATGGAACCAAAAAAGAGCCCTAATAGCCAAGGCAATCCTAAGCAAAAAGAACAAAGCTGGAGGCATCATGCTACCCATCTTCAAACTGTACTACCAGGCTACACAGTATAGTACCGGTACAAAAACAGATACATAGGCCAATGGAACAGAATAGAGAACCCAGAAATAAGACTGCACACTTTGACAAACCTGACAAAAGCAACTGGGAAAGGATTCCCTATTCAATAAATGGTGCTGGGATAACTAGCTAGCCACATGCAGATTAAAACTAGATGCCTTTCTTATATCATATGTAAAAATTAACCCAAGATGGATTAAAATGTAAATGTAAAGCCCACAACTATAAAATCCCTGGAAGACAACCTAGGAAATACCTTTCAGGACGTAGGCACAGGCAGAGCTTTCCTGACGAAGACACCAAGAACAAATTGTAACAGGAGCAAAAATTGACAAATGGGATCTAATTAAACTAAAGAGCTTCTGCACAGCAAAATAAACTATCAACAGAGTAAATAGACAACCTACAGAATGGGAGAAAATTTTTAGAAACTATGCATCTGGCAAAGGTCTGATATCCAGCATCTATAAGGAACTTAAATACATTTACAAGAAAAAAACCACCCCATAAAAAAGTGAGCAAAATACATGAAAAAATACTTTTCAAAAGAAGACATGCATGTAGCCAACAATCATATGAAAAAAAACCTCAGCATCACTGATCTTTAGAGAAATGCAAGTCAAAATCACAATGAGATACCATCTCACACCAGTCAAAATGTCTGTTAGTAAAAAGTCAAAAAATAACAGATACTGGCAAGGTTGTGAACAAAAAGAAATGCTTATACATTGTTGGTGGGAGTGTAAGTTAGTTCAACCATTATGGAAGACAGTGTAGCAATTCCTCAAAGACCTAAAGATAGAAATACCGTTTGACCCAGCAGTCTCATTACTGGGTATGTATACAAAGGAATGTAAATCATTCTCTTATGAAGAGACATGCCACGTATGCTTATTGCAACACTGTTCATGATAGCAAAGACATGAAATCAACCTAAATGCCCATCAATGATAGACCAGATAAAGAAAATGTGATATATATACCCTGTGGAATACTATACAGCCGTAAAAAAGAATGAGCTCATGCCCTTTGCAGGTACATGGATGGAGCTGGAGGCTGTTACCCTTAGCAAACCTAACACAAAAACAGAAAACCAAATACCACATATTCTCACTTATAAGTGGGAGCTGAATGGTGAGAACACAGGGACACATAGAGGGAAGCAACAGACACTGGGTCCTATTGAAGGTTGGGCGGGGGTAGGAGGAGGGAGAGGATCAGGAAAAATAACTAATGGGTAATGGGCTTAATACCTGGGTGATGAAATAATCTGTACAACCAAACCCTCTTGACGCAAGTTTACCTATGTAACAAGTCAGCACATGAGCACCTGAACTTAAAACGTAAAAGGATAATATGGTATATGTACACAATGAAATACTAGTCAGCTTT